CCGGCCACGCCCCTTTCCTGCCAGGGAGGGGGGACGGAGGGGAGCGCGAAGAACCCCCCCCCAAGAGATAAAGGCGAAGGGTTGCGCCGCGCACCGTGTAGTTCTTCCGGTATCCCGTTGACAGCTGCTCTGAGAGGACGGGAGGGAAAGAGGGGAACGCCGCCCCCCCTTCCCCCCAATGCAGTCAACTCCTGGCACGCCTCGCCAGAACGATAGTAACCTCGAATGCATGCATCGTGATTGTGCATGAGTTTTTTTTTTAATGCGCTCTGGAGGTGCCCTGGTGCTGTGTTGCTTGCCCAAGGCCACCCAGGCTGGTTGTAATCCCAGACAGGATTGTGGGGAATGGAACTCCCAGTCTCCAGTTAGCAGTCTACCTGTGGTGTATTGCACTCACTGCAACATCTATATTATCTTCAAGGGCTGCACTATGTAAAGTGCATAATAGTAGTCTAACTGGAAGATTGTTCTGCATGAACCACTGCAAACTGTACCTGTCCAGGAATAGTTGTAGCTGGTGAGTGCATTGAAAATGGCCACAGGCACTCTGAGGCACCCCTGAGCCTTCAATGGTACAGATGACTCAAGGACTACCCCCAGGATATATGCCTGCTCTTTCAGAGGGAGGGCAATTATAATACTCTCTAATTCTGTGGGAATCTATCTATCTATCTATCTATCTATCTATCTATCTATCTATCTATCTATCTATCTATCTATCTATCTATCTATCTATCTATCTATCTATCCATCCATCCATCCATCCATCCATCCATCCATCCATCCATCCATCCATCCATCCATCCATCCATCCATCCATCCATCCATCCATCCATCCATCCATCCATCTATCTATCTATCCATCCATCCATCTATCCATCTATCTATACCCAGCCTTTGTCCTCGAAAGGACCCAAGGTGACTATCATCAAAAGCTAGCCGATGACTATTGACACTGATCTACTTGTGAAACGGAGATTTCATCCAACATTTCGTTCTGTTTCCCTATGTCTGACAAAGAGGACGTGTCCACGAAAGCTTACATTAAAATGTAATAGTTTGTCTTTAAGGTGCCACATGTTTTTGTCTTGTTTTGTTTCTTTGGATTTTTGCCTGATATGCTTGCACTGAGGAAACACAGCTGCCTCCTCCAGAACTAGTGATCTATTGTTTGCTGGATTATTTTACAGTTAGGCATCCTTCAGTCTCGAAGGCCTTTGTCCTCGAAAGGACCCAAAGTGACTATCATCAAAAGCTAGCCAATGACTATTGACACTGATCTACTTGTGAAACGGAGATTTCATCCAACATTTCGTTTTGTTTCCCTGTTTCTGACAAAGTGGACGTGTCCACAAAAGCTTACGTTAAAATGTAATAGTTTGTCTTTAAGGTGCCACTGTTTTTGTCTTGTTTTGTTTCTTTGGATTTTTGCCTGATATGCTTGCACTGAGGAACCACAGCTGCCTCCTCCAGAACTAGTGATCTGTTGTTTGCTGGATTATTTTAATTGTCTAATAAAGGGGTCACCTGCTCCTGCATTTGTATTGTACTGGAAACCATACAGCCCTTTTCTGATTTTTTTATGTGGGATCTTTGCCAAAGAACTGTCAAATAATACATCCTATTGATGCTCACACACCCCAAAAATTTAGAAATCCCTTGGTGTGTAGCTTTGCTGTGCCACAAAATTTGATTGCACGGATTCGGTTTCTTCCCTCAATGTCTGTGCAAGAGGAATTGATTCAGCAAAGCTCATCATGATGTATAACCTTTTTTGCTTTTCGTTTTGTTATTTTGTTTTTGTCTGACGTGCTTGCACAGACCTGCGGCTTCTTTGAAAACTGCAAAATAAATTGGACAGGCTGAGAAAGGGTGACATGCTCGAAAAGTCATGCCATGAGTTTCACGCTTCCTTGTACGAGGAGGGATTTGAAGCCAAGTCCAGATGCGACATCCTGCATGAAACGCAGCTGGTTGCAGAACGGGGGACCCTAAGATCTCCTCCCTCCTCCTCACATTTATTCACATCTTTGCTTGGGTTGCCCTTCACGTTTCATTGGAAACTGAAAATGTCATGTATTACAATTGTTAAGACTCGGAATCAGTCTCATACCAAGAATTGCTTGCTTCCTGGCGCATGCTCTGGGTTTTTACATTGATCTCTCTCTCTCTCTCTCTCTCTCTCTCTTTGTGCTGCCATGGAAACGCTTCACCAGCAAAGATCCTTGAGGGAAAATAATAAGAGTGGTGCTACTGTGTTTCCCCGAAAATAAGACAAGGTCTTATATTAATTTTTGCTCCATAAAACGCATTAGGGTTTATTTTCAGAGGATGTTTTATATTTTTTTGCATGTACAACAATCTACATTTATTCAAATACAGTCATGCCATCTTCTTCTGGTTGCTGCACAAGGGTGGAGTTGCACTTAACTTATTTTTGGGGTAGGGCTTATACTTTGAGCATCCTGAAAAATCATACTAGGGCTTATTTTCAGGTTAGGTCTTATTTTCAGGGAAACAAGGTAGTTGGTTGAAGATCCTCGCACAGATCACTGATTATTTCTAAGCAGAATTCTAGTCGCTGTTTTTTACCTGCAACTGAAGATTTGTGATGTTTATAGGTAAAAGCATATACAGTCGTGCCTCGCTTAACGAGGAAATGGCTGTACGATTCAGTTTTTGTGATCCCAAAACAATGGTTTAAATGGGGTTTTTCCTCTTTGCGATGATTGGTTCCCTGCTTCGGGAACCGTTCACTTTACGACGATCAGCAAAGAGCTGATCATCGGATTTCAAAATGGCCACCGGCTGAAGAAAATGGCCCCCCTGTTCTCTAGGACGGATTCCTCACTTTACAGGCACTGAAAACTGCCGCCGTATGGAGGATCTTTGCTGGATGAGCAGGTATTCAGCCCATTGGAACACATTGAACGGTTTTCAATGCGTTTCAGTGGGGTTTTTAAATTTCGTTTGACAACTTTTTGCTCTACAGCAATTTTGCTGGAACGAATTGACGTCGTCAAGCGAGGCACCACTGTAACTGAAATATATTTTTCAGACTTAAGTATTTGCCTGCAACTTAAGTTCACTCTTCATATATTTTTGATTATTTTGCACCTACAGCTTTTTGTTTGCTGCAAGTTCAAATTCTGTACAATTGAAATTTTAATTAATTAGTTAATTAGAATATTTCTATCCCACCTTTCTCCTTAAAAAGGAACCTTATTAGTAGAAGATAATGTTTAAAAGGTAAAAACAGTCTGGGGGACATGGCAGAGAAGGCCCTCTCAAACACACTTCTGGAGGTGTTTAGACCCAGAGAAGGGCTTCCCTTGATGATCTTAACAGCCCAACAGGCTCATAAAAGATGACACAGTACTTTAGATAGTTTGTATCCAAGCTATTTGGGGCTTTATAGGTTTAAACCAGAACTTTGAATGTGCCTGGAAATGGATAAGCAGCCCGTGGAGCTACTGTAACAGAGAGGTTACATCAGTGGTGTCGAACTGTGGCCATCCAGATGTTCTGGGCCTGGAAATGGATAAGCAGCCCGTGGAGCTACTGTAACAGAGAGGTAGTGGTTCTTAACCTTTGTTACTCGGATGCTTGTGAACTGCAACTCCCAGAAACCCCAGTCAGGAAAGCTGGTGGTGAAGGCTTCTGGGAGTTGCAGTCCAAAACTCCTGAGTAACCCAAGGTTAAGAACCAGTGGGTTACATGATCTCTGTAATTTCTCAAAAGATTAACATGTTTTCAATAACCTTTGGATTTTTATGTGTAAAAGCAATCTGGATGAGTAAAGCTTGTAGAATATGGCAAGCCAATGTTGCCTGGGCTAATTTTTCTCTGCTTACTTCAACATGAGTGTAAACAATGACTTATTCTCATCCTCTGAGGAGAGATGGAGCAAATTTGGAAGCTACAGCTCTGGTGAGCTAGACAGGAGCCAGGACATGATTTAAACACTGATGCCCAGATAAACTTTGATAAGGATTGTCACGATCATCTGATTCACACTGGAACGAACCCTTTCAGGGATAAATGTCAGCTGTAATGGACCACTACTAACGCAAACTGCCGAGAGATGTCATAAAGAAGACAGGAGCCAGGACATGATTTAAACACTGATGCCCAGATAAACTTTGATAAGGATTGTGTGTAATGGACCACTACAAACGCAAACTGCCGAGAGATGTCATAAAGATGATGAGAATAGCTGAGGATTATACAGTAATTCTAATGGGAAGAAAAGTTACAAATAAATAAATAAATAATGAAAGAAAGAAAGTTCTATAGTGTTCTCAGGACTTTTTTTGAATGTCATACTTTTGACTTTGCTAATGGCATTTTTTCTGATACGTGGATCTGACTATAGATTTAGCTGTGCTATGTTAAGTGATGCACTCTTGCATTTTAAAATAATTGTCCACTTTTAGAATAACTGTGCTTAAATCATAAAAGAATTATTAAAAAAAAACTAAAGCAAACCAACAGAGTTCCAAAACAAACTACCCAGCAAATGCTCTTTCTGAAGTCTTGCTTTATTAAGTAAAAATCATATTAGTTGATTGCAGAATGCAAGAGGAAATTGTTTTAGAAAAAGTTAAGAGGGAGAGAAAGAAAAATCTGGCAAAGACAGGTTAGAGCAAACTTCTTATCTGCAAAAGGTGCAGTTTCAGGGAGAAAAGGAGTATGCAATAAGAAAGGAAAGGTTGCCATCTTGTGGCCAAGAAGAGGGAAAGGCTCCTAGCATTTTCTCAACTGTATCATTCTTATATGCAAAAGGCACCATATAGCTCCTAGCATTTTCTCAACTGTATTTATCATTCTTATATGCAAAAGGCACCATATCATCATCATCAT